GCTCAGTCTCCTGCCAGATGTTTTATGATTCAGACACTGAAACATGATCAGTGCTGAAACGTTTAGTTTTTCATTAATACCCAGCAACAACAGAGAACAGGGGTCAAGAAAGAAGATGAAGAGCAGAAAAAAACTGTTGAAAAGCAAATAATTATCAGGGGAAATGTCCACATTCTGAAACGAAACAGCAGGAGGCAGCTGCAGCGCAGGGTCGACAAACCCACTAAATGTTTTTCTAAATAAATTAACAGCTATGCTCACACAGTGCAGGAAATTGAAATGGGGACTGCAAATTTTTTCTCTTAAATTATTTGTGACTAGTTTGAGGAGTACATTTTTATCTAAAACTATCTAAAAGAAGAGCTTGTGCGGCAGAGTGTCATTTGTTTCTTATGGAGCCATGTAGCAGTAGTGTGATGAAATTATGGCTGAAAATATAAAGATAGAAGACAGTCAACATCTTGGTTCATTTCAAGCAGATTTAAAAACCACTTCTGGATAAACATGTTGGGGTCGATGGTAGTTTGGTGATCAGTGTTGCTGTTTGTAATTTTAAAGCTGCAGGTTTGAGCCCAGGTTGCATTAGGAAGGGCATCCAGCGTAAAACATTTGTCAAATCTTTGGTGCATGTTCACAAGTAAAAGATTATAAATAAATTATTCACATATTAATCATCACAATTTTCCGACCCCATGGTTGAAATGGGGAGTTATTGCTTTGAAAGTGTTCATCAGGAGTCTATTGTTTTAAATGAAAGAGGACCTCGGAGTTTCAGAGTCACCAGGAAGCTTTTTCACTTGGAAGGTGCTGACTTGTCAATATTTCTGGCTAAAGCCTGTTTCACAACAGCAGGCGGAAAGTCTTTTCAGCACATTTTGAGTCTGCAACTAACAGACAGGAACTGTGCTCAGCACACTGCAACTATTTAAGCTTTCATAGAAAACAAAAAGACAAGGAAGTCCTCAGGAGAGTCCAGAGTGCCATACTTCTGAGGACACATTATCCCAAATACTAAACATCGCAACATGTTTGTTTGCTTTGATTTTTTTCTTTAGAGGGAACTTTTTGAAATAATATATGTCAGCACACACACACACATACAGACACACACATTTCTCTGTCCTTGTGGGGACTTTCCATTGACTTCCATTCATTTTTTGGTAATTTTATATCCTAACCTAACCCTGACCATTTACCCTAAAATTAACCTCACAAGTACCTACCTGACGCCAAAACTAACCTAAACTCAAATCACACCTTGGTCCTAAACCTACCCCCCACCCAAAATCAGCCTCTAAAGTGGTGGGGACRGGGCTTTGGTCCCCACAAGGAGCATCCGGTCCCCACGTGYCTGCATTTTCCTGAAAAATCATCCCAACCAAGTAGCAAAAACATGGGCACACACACACACAAAATACAGTATAACAGGGCTATTCAATTGGCGGCCRGCGYGCCACATSCGGCCCGCGAATGACCAAASTTCGGCCCGCCAATTGGTTCATTCATCTCTTAAGCCCAAACCCCCGGMTTTCTACTTTAATTAATGTAAGTTCTTTTAYTTAAACARAGACWRGTTTGGTATCTAAAGAAGCATCAGAATCTTGGCTAGAAACTGGTAAAAACCATTTCTATAAACACTCAAGACAGTTAAAACTATAAGCAGTTGAAGATAAAATTTTGAAAGTGAAATTAAAATTGGTTTCAGTCAAGTCAGAGATGTCAAAATATTATTTGTGTCAAATAGGGGGCATAACGTGTTCTTTTTGTTTTTGATATTGTGTAATTATCACAACTTTTATAGGGTTCTGTATGTTGTARTCATGATTAAATGCAGCAAAATAAACTAATCCAAAGGTAACAGATCTTTGTWATACTTGGTTTATTTACATAAAAACTTTAATTACTGGATGTTCGGCCCCTCAGCTGTTGACCGGCAGTAACTGTGGCCCTCGGAGCAGTTTAGTTGAATAGCSCTGTAGTATAAGCAAAATCAAATCTGTTCAGATTTGATGTTACAACTCAGTTTTGAGTTAGTTGACTGCAAGTGGTTAGCTCTGACACTTCCGTTCTCATTTGGTGGTAAAATACGACATCTTTACCTGCAGATACACACATGTTGTTTTCTGACAGTGAGCTGTCACAATACTGGACACAACAGAAAAAAACTCAAAAATCACAGAAAAACTCCAATAAAATAACAAAAAGACAACTAAATGCTAATGCAAACACTACGCTTATAATTATTTTCCATGGTTCTGGATATGTCGTATTCACAACAGATGACAAGGACCGTTTTCTCGTGATAACGAGTTATGGTTTTCCTTGTGTATCATTCAGTAACCATGGAGATGGCTCGATGCCCTCAGCTGGTGACCGATAAAGTTTATTATATCATCAAGTTCAAGACCACTGTGTAAACGCCTGCTGAGCTGCAGRCGGGTCAGCAGTCTCCTTAAATCAGTGGTTCTCAATTCCGGTCCTCGTGACCCACTATCCTGCATGTTTTAGTCGTTTCCCTGCTCTGAAGCCTGCCAATCACTCATTCTAGGGTTGGGCAATATGGCCAAAAAAAAAAAAAAGATCACGATTAATTTTCTCATATCATCTGATCTCCATTAATATCACAATTTTTTTTGTTAACCTAAAAAATAAATAGCTACAGAAATAAAAATATATATATTGGCTGTTATTTCACTTTCACTAAAATAACAAATAGCTGGAGTTCAGTTGAACATGGAATTATTTTTGCAAGGTATTTAAAAAGGTATTTACCAAGAAAAAAAACATTTGTGTAAATCATAGAATTTCACATTAATTTTGTAAAATTAAAATTTTAGAATTGAATTTCACATTAAATATGCCATAAAGAAACATAAACCCTACAAACAGCATCAATTTGTGCACACTTGCCAACCGAATGTGATCTAAGCTCATTATTTTAGTTATAAGGAACCRCACACCCCCATGACCTCCTGTTMACAGCGCTTTATCAAACAATGGACCACACCGTTTCATTTTTTCTGAAAGAATCTGATTCCCAGCTTCTGAGCGTTCAGGAGTTTGCAGCGTCTCTCAGCTGCTGTTTGTGATGAGACTCTTAGAGGAAGTGGTCTTCATGTCGCATCCAGCCCATCGTGAGCCGATAAAACTTACAGAAAAGTTCTTCTCCAGATGAATGAAGAACCGCTGGGACATTGTTCTGTTCTAAACGTTACCCTGAGACTGCTTCATATTTTTGAAGGACGCTTTTGTTTTAGCGAGACACGTATCGCGGTTCACTTTTCTTCCCCTCTCCCTCTTTGTATGTGTCAGGAGAGGAGCTCACCCTGCGTGCCTGTTAGCAGGTAACAGCAGGTACAAGAAGCAACAGCAGCCAAAATACCCCAGAAACTCYCCCAAATAAGCYAACWCTGTGAGATTCAGCGTTTTATACTGGATTACTTTAGTTAATTCTGAGATTCTGTCCACATTTCCTTAGCAACTTATAAACAGAAGWGGAGCAGGAGAAGGTGGATTCTGATTGGCTGTTGTCGCGCACATTTCTGCCATGTTTGATCGAGGTAGAGGCTCACAGCTGATCACCGTGARTGACCTGAATTTTTTCCTCGATCAATAATCGCYATCAAATAAACACCCAGCCCTATAAGCCAAAGCAGCGAAACAAATAAAACATGCAGGATAGTGGGTCAAGAGGACCGGCACTGAGAACCACTGCCTTAAATGATGAGGTCAGATATGAAAGTTATCTGTAAATCGCTATTTCAGCCTGTGTAATAATACAAAAATGACACAAAATTATTAACAACTAGACATGGGTTTTTACGATGTAAAAACAAGTGTGCATTGCCATCTAGCATGGCTTTGCCTGCAGCGTTGGACTTGCAGAATGAACTTTGACCAAGTTCAAATGTGTTTTCTATACCAGCTTGMGSCTGTCACGTCAGCAGGTGTTTGTAATTAAGGTAAWTGTGTGACAATATGAAGTTTGAAGAGATTTTTTGTTAAAGTTGCATTAGCTGGGTTTTGAACCCTGATCTCGCACATGAAAGTCCATGACATAGACCATTAGAATGTTGGCGCTGTGGCAGGGTGTGGTGCCAGGGGTTGGTTTCTATGTGTGCAGAAAGAGGCCACATTGCCAATACAATTATTGATACTAAACTGCACAATATTACAATAGAGCAGTATTAAGACAATGATATGGTAAAACATCAAAATACAATCATATTAGTATTGTAAACACTGAGCTATTAAGATTAAATATAAAAAACTATGGTGCAGTACCAAGTTGATTACAGCTGGGGGCAGTATTGGACCATTACAAGGCCCCATTGACTGCCATTAAATGAATTTGGAATAAAGTTTAAACAGCAATATTTCAAAAACTACAAGTTGTACYGGTACCAAAAGGCATAGCAATCATTTGGCACAGGACCTTTACCCACCCAGGGAGTGAGGTCTCAATGCCYCCTCCTCTAGACAAACCGCCAGGCCGGGAGAAACCAAGGCCATGGACAAAATAGAGCCCATGGGACCACCAGAGAAGGGGACCACCAATCCATCCACCCCGGAGCCTTCCAGACCCCCCAGTCCCACAGCCAGCCCGCGACCTACAGAGGCCACCGAACCCCAGCAAGGAAGGTTAGGCTGGGAGTGCCTACCCAGSCGCCYGCYGRGCAAGGAGGCACCGAGAGCGAGCTCCGCCACCACTAAGGGACCAACCAGCCACTCCAGCACAGCCCCTGGCTGCCACCAAAGGCCATCCACACATCCCTCACCCCAGAAGAAATACTACACCCACCCCAACATTCATACAACTCTCAGAACATATAGCACCCTAGACACTCAGGCTGGGTTGACCCACCCCCTCCATGGGTCACTGGCCACCCAGCCACCACCATCCCACGGCCCACCAGTGCACCAAAATTGACAAATTTTAAAGTCATCTCCACTGGAAAGATAAACCTTCTAACTTAAGTCTCACAAGTTCCTGATTTATACAAAAAATACAATACCTATGGTATCGGTTGAAGAACCTTTTAAAAATGCTGAAGACAAGTGATAAAAACAAAGCTTCCTACCATCAGGATGACGATTATGCAAATATTTTTAGGGTCCTTCCAGAACTTGTCTCGAGGGATCACCTTGGCATAATGAACAATTCGAAAAGTAAAGACGAGCACACAGAGCAGCTCCACCAGCATGGTCGCCTGAAAAGACAGAACATAAAACTGACCCAACATATGAAAAACTGAAAAATAATTACTTTTTTTTTATAAAAAAGATAAAGTCAGCAAGTGTTTTTGAATATAAACAGGTGGGCGTGGGGGGTGGGGGGGTTAAAATGTTCTCTGTCAGCAGGTTAATACAATGATAGATGAGTCTTCTTTGTCTTTTGGRTGCTCCCTTRAGGGATCGCCACAGGAGATCATCTGCCTCCATCTCATCCTATCCTCTGCCTCCTCTACTGTTACACCAACCATCTCCATGTTTTTTCACTACATCCATGAATCTTCTCTGCGGTCTTCCTCTTCTCCTTCTGCCTGGCAGCTCCATATTCTTTCCCTTTTTTCCCCAACTAGCAACATAATGGATTCCTGTTTTGTTATATTTTATAAATATGTCCAAATTTACTGTGTGAGAAATCCACAATTTTCTGTTTTTTTAGTCAGTGTTTAATATAGCTGGCACAATAAATTTTTTAAAATATAATAA